GATCTGGACTACATGGTGAGAGGACTAGCTGTAGTTCACTTTTTTTGAGACTTTTCCAGTTGATCATTTTGTAAATGGGTCTCAAAGCCTCTCATTGTAGGTAGAATGTTGACAGTGTTTAACCACTATAGCTAAATATGGGCAAACATAATCTAGTGAGCTAATGGCTAATTCTAAAAGACGCAAGTTTAGTAGGATTAGTCAGCAAATACTACTTTGGGATAAGTTGCAAAATTTGGGTGGAGAAGAGGTGTAGGCAGAACTACAGTGAATGTTTGGATACCTACCTGAGGAGACTTGACACTACATGGTGCAGCTATACAATGATGAGTTGAATTGATTTCTTTTATTCAAATGGGTATCTTATAAGATGCAGGTATCGATACTTCTGGTTTTGTTAAGGACACTCTTAATCTTCCCTCCTGCAGGTCTACATGTTCAAATATGACTCCACTCACGGTGTGTGGAAGCACGGAGAGGTGAAAGCAGAGGGTGGCAAGCTGGTCATCGGCAACATGCACATCACGGTCTTCCATGAGTAAGTATGCGTTTAGATTTTTAACACAGAATGTTTGAGCAGTTTTACCCTCAATGTGTATGCAGCACAGTCCAGATGCGGTCTAACCTCTCCTATATGTGAAAATGTACAGGAGGGACCCCGCCAACATCAAGTGGGGCGATGCTGGAGTTGACTACGTCGTGGAGTCCACCGGTGTGTTCACCACCATCGAGAAAGCCTCTGTAAGTTTACTGCTCCCAGGACGATTTACTGGAAGATGATTTTTATAAGAATGGATTGTTTCAAAATCAAACTATCTCTATTAATGTATCAAACATAAGAGGATTATACTTTTTTCAACTGTTTATAAGTCACTAAAGAAACATGTCATGTCTTATTTTTGTAAACTGCAGAAGGATAAAGGGGAAAGTAGTGTGTTATTCTTGCACATGAAAGGAGCTACAAATGACTATTGTATAGTTATGATGTACTGGAAACCTACATTTCAGTCTTCGTGTAAAGAGCATAAATCAACCCAATATGACCTTTGACCTCTTGTGTACCTGTAGGCTCACCTGAAGGGCGGCGCAAAGAGGGTGGTTATCTCTGCTCCCAGCGCTGACGCTCCCATGTTCGTCATGGGCGTCAACCACGAAAAGTATGACAACTCCATGAAGGTTGTCAGGTGAGTAAAGTTATCAGTACAGATGGTTAAAACAAGTTAGTTCTACAGATGATGTGTTAAGTGGCTGTTTTAACCCGTTTTAAGTTTGATTTTTAAGATGACTTTTTAGTCTTTCAGTTGTAGCTGACAAGGACCTTAAATTGGACAAATTCATAGTGTCTGGAGTGATGTCACCTGGTCCTCCTGTGACACAGCATCTCAAGGACAGATGTGAACATCTGGATGCTTAAGTCCATCTGACAAAAAACAAATGTCAAACCAAGATCATCTCAGAGTGTGTGCACTTCTGATGTCAGTAGTACATAAACTTCACCATTTGTAACATGTATTCCCTGTCTTGTCTCCATAGCAACGCTTCCTGCACAACAAATTGCCTAGCTCCCCTCGCCAAGGTCATTAACGATAACTTCGGCATCCTTGAGGGTCTCATGGTAAAGAACTAACATTTCATTGATTAAAATTACACACTGCAATCACACTGCTACTTCAACTTCTGACACCTGTTAAAGGACATAAGGAAGGGAGCCGGAAACTTTACTTAGTCAACTGGTTACTCGTTATCAATTTTATCTACAATTTTAAAAAATTTTCATATTTTATTTATAATAACAGTTGCGAATTACAAGTGGTCAGGGCCCAAAGTGATGCTTACTTGGTCTGACAAGCCAAAAACCCAAATACTCGATATGAAACAGAAAATCAAATGATTGTTTGTATTTATAAAGCTGACACTGGCAAATGTCTACTAATTTAAATATAAATTGGTTATCAATGTGGTTAAGTTATATTTCCTAGTGTGTTAAACCCAAATGATCAGACCAGCTACCTTCCACAGCCAAAATCCCTGACTTGATGGTTTGGTGTATAACTGACCAGCTACCAGCTTTCTGAATATTTTCTAGTGTTTAGAGCATCTGTGTAAACTTTTTTTTTTTTTTAAATCAAAGAGTTGATAAGTCTAATCTTAAACACATAAATCCTGAATCTGAGTCTTCTAATGCTACCTTTTGCTCATGCTTTCAGAGCACAGTTCACGCCATCACCGCCACACAGAAGACCGTTGATGGTCCCTCTGGTAAGTTGTGGAGGGACGGACGTGGTGCCTCCCAGAACATCATCCCTGCCTCCACCGGAGCAGCCAAAGCTGTAGGCAAGGTTGTCCCCGAGCTGAACGGGTATGACTTCACTTTCACTTGATTAGGTTTGAGCAGAGTGACCTGAGTAAGCACCATAGACTGTAAGCACACAATCATTCAGCCAGAGGACCCTGGTTTAAGATGCTCATTCCCTACAATCGGCTGTCCTTACATCCATCTTTTGATAAGACATTTTATCGTGTCAGAACTTTGAAGTAAAACATTTCACTATGAGGATGTGCATCATGAATTTGTGTTCACTACAGGACCTAATAAAGTGGCCGTGTGTTCTCGACACACTAGCAATGTGTCATCAAGTAGACGGTTGAGTACCTGCAAATATCTCAAACATCAGGACAAACTCAAAGTTTAATGGTGCTGTTCTGTCTTTGAGCTTGAGACAAAGATCACTTCCCTGTGGGGCTCCGTCTCGGACAATTTATGGGAATAAAAGAACTAAAATCATATCTAATTTTTTTACTTTGTCTAACTCTTTACTGTCTCGTTCTTACAGTAAACTGACTGGTATGGCTTTCCGTGTCCCCACCCCCAATGTCTCCGTCGTTGATCTGACTGTCCGTCTGGAGAAGCCTGTAAGTGTCTTACTTTTAAAATATAACATGAAGCTTTATTATTGGTCATAACTGTTTAACCAGGTGATGGCTTTACTTTGGAACAAATATACAGCTGATAATCCCCCCCCTAACTAGTTTTGAGTGTAAATTTGGGGTCAAAGGGAAGAAAGTCTTATGACCTTCCACAGATCTGTCATTCAGAACAATCTATTTTGAGACATAATTCTGTTATTTAGACTTGGAGATGCTACCAGACTCTCACTTATTATAATAAACCTTTAAATCAAGCTGTCATTTTGAAGCCAAGCCCTCAGTTGCTGGTCTACTCTGTAAATTCATGAGTTAGTAAAATGTCTGTCTTCAGGCAAAGTACGACGACATCAAGAAGGTTGTCAAGGCCGCTGCTGAGGGACCCATGAAGGGAATTCTGGGATACACAGAGGACCAGGTACAGAAAACATCACTCATTTCTGTGTGAAGCCATACATGGGCCACTAGATGGCAGCACATTTACAATACAATAACATGGCAGATCACAGAACTCCATTTATTTAGCCTCTTGTTTGTGGCAATAAACTAACGCAGTATCATTTAGCTGGAAAAATAAACTGTATTTGAAAGGACAATTTTTAATTCTGCAGATATTTGTATTAGTACACAAAGAGAACCCTTTGTTGCGTGGCCTGGGTAAAGGCCCACAGCATCAAAAATGACAACAGCATTGTTCCAGTTTCTCAGAGCATACAGATCTATAGCCAATGTACCTCTACATGTGTAAACAGTTTTGCTCGCCTCTTTCTACTCAGGTTGTGTCCACAGACTTCAACAGTGACCCTCACTCCTCCATCTTTGACGCCGGTGCCGGCATCGCTCTCAACGACCACTTTGTCAAGCTGGTTTCATGGTTGGTTAACAGCGTAGCAGCATAGCGTATCAATGTGTTTGAACCAGTGTAACTTCAGAATAAATCATTTAGCAACATCAGCTGAGCAAAGTTGAAAAAATTAAAACATTTTCATTAAATCTCACTTTGCTGTGCAATTTCCATTAGAACTATTCTTAAAACATGTCTTTCAGCATATAACCATCACAAAGGCTACATGCCATACTAGAACTACATATTGACTGGAAATCCTTCAATTCTGAAATTTTTAAGCCTTTTTCTTGATCTCCAGATCACATTGACCTCATGGGAGTTGTTTTCCATTCATGAATACCACACTTCCCACATATATCTTGCTCAGTAATTATAACCTCCGATCTTTGTTCACTGTCTGCAGGTACGACAACGAGTTTGGCTACAGCAACCGTGTGTGCGACCTGGTCCAGCACATGTTCACCAAGGAGTAAAGTCCTCTCACAACTCATTGTTGCTTGCCATGATTCCCTCTCCACCTGTAACTGGATGCTGTGCCATCAGTTTCCAGGAACAAACTCTTCAATGATAAACATGTAGCTGATACCTTTTTATATGATAACATCACCTCTGTTCTGTGAGGACTGCAGTAAGCATTGTTTGTAGAAGTGATTTTCCATTACTGTACTGAATGGTCTTGTTGCACAAAACATGATAAAGTCCTCAATTTGTGGAAAGACTGGCTTCTCATCTTTTATAATGTAAATTGTAATCAGTGCACACATGGTACCTCTGGTCTTCAACTTCTTTTTTTAAATGGGTTCAGATGAAACTCTGCCTTAAGTGGTTACCTTATACTGCTAACCTTAGCCTTAAAATATCATGGATGACAAAGTCATAGGGGAAAAACTAACATAGCATACATTAACACTGGCACAAGATTTGACTGTAGCACTCTTATGAAAGGATAAATTCTTTCAAAAAAATTCCCTCAATTTTGGATTTGAAGAGTGCCATCACTCCTAAATTAAACTTTGTCATTTGTCTGCATTTAGATAAATGTTTAAACCGTAAGCTGAACATTTCTATTCTAGGTCTGTCCAGAAAAGTGACATTGGGTTTGGTGCTGAATATGAAATGTGTTTTTTTTTTTTTGGGGGGGGAGTAACATGAGAATTTGTCAAACATTGGACTGAAACCCAGAGAGAAAGGTAGGACAGTGTAAATAGGTGTAGTTTGGAGAGACATGTCACTCATGAGAATCTCAATGATCCTACCCTCTTAACAATTGCCCATGATGGTCTCATGCCTTGTCAAACTGTCTTGAGACTCAATCCAATTTGTGTTTTACTCATCACGTCACCCAAATCTTGTCATCTGACAAGATAATACATTATAGTTGGTGTCTAGCAAATGTTTCCCACACTGTCTGGTTTGCTAAATGTCTGTCATACAGCAAACAATTTAAGGGTCCAAACTAGAATTTTATGGGTGGTTCATGTTGTATTACAAACATTTCAACATAGGTTTTGCCACAGGTGTAACTAAATATTAATGATGGCTGGGTTCAGTTTAGGTGTCCAGTTCCAGAGCTCACTAGAAAGGTGTCTTTTTAATTTGTCACCTGTATAAAATTAATAGCCAAAACATTTTTTTCAGCCAGAATCTTAAAGCTGTTCTGCTATGGTCCTGCCCAGACATGTGTCACTGAGTTTGCTGCAGTGTATGAAATTAGTTTCTGGGAGAAATGCCAAATAAAAATCAGGCTGTTGCAACTTTTAGCCTGACACACAGAACAGGGAGGTGCAGTGGAGCCAGTTTTTATCTGTGATAGTTGTTTAAAATACAACAGGAAACAAAGACAATATGTGGTTCACAAACAGTACTAAGTTTATAAATAAGACAGGTTCACTAGGCCCTTTCGCCATCTGACCTGCAGAAACTGTCAGTGAAGTGTTTTCAGGGTAAACAGTTAGGAACTGGGCAAAGTTAGCTAACATTAAGTAAGTCTGACATCCAGTTCACAAGTCTTAGAAGGCTAGCTAACAAATTTTGACCAACAGGCCAAGTAAACAACTCTTGAAGTTACAGCAGAGTAATATGGAAGTATGTGCATGTGGTTATTAAGGTATTAATCCAGCTGTAGGAGGCAAGAAGTTAGCTAACGCTAGCCATACGCAGGATAGCTAAGCTGTGTCAACAATTGTGAGTATGAAACTGCCTGGAAAGAAGGAACATTTAGCTTATTTTTTGAAAGTTGCACTACACACTTCTTTAAAACACTTTCGATTACGTAACATTAGCCTATTTAGAATGAATTCAGAAAGTGTTAAATGTCCCTATTTGGGCGGCTTTAGCACAGGTGCTCCTCTATTCCGGTCACTACGGTAGCTCAGGCGGTGGTGCTCTATTACGGTCATTACGGCATCTGAAAGCCGCAGTCATTCACATGTTTATTCCTGAGTTCTACTGCACTGCTGCTCGACTCTCTGCTAGGACTGATTTTACATCATCATCTGGTGCCAAAGCTACTGTTTCCTCCTCTGACTGCCAGGTACGGTGCTTACATTTTCATTAAAGCGACAAAATATCTCCTTAGAGCTTTATTCTAAGGCTTAGAATAAACATTTTATGAAAGTGCGCGTCGCCACTGTGATCTAGACTACAAAATAATCCTGCGTAAAGGTAAACTCAGTAATCTAATTTTGCTCCTGGGACCAGCTGTGTGTCTGCGAGTTTAGAGGCACCTTGTTGAAGTATATATTTTTTAAGTTAAGTTAGCTGTTAAAGTGTTTTGGGAGTTATTTTGCTGCGATTTCAGGCCTATAAAGCATCCTTTTGAACTGCATTATCGGACTGTAGCCAACAGCCCCCTGCATAAAGGTGAGCATCGGGCGAAATAAAGAGAAGGACTCAAACGAGGCTGCTGGGCCTGATAACGGTTCTGGACAGTAATCAGATTTTAGACGAAATTACTTGGCGAGTTGACTATATAGAAGTCTGGGTTCATGCCGGATTTCGAGCACTTCAGATTTTCCTATTCGAGCATGAATCCGGTCCTGGGGGAGAACGGCTTCCTGGCCCCGCAGCAGCACCACCACCACCAGATGACGGGCCAGACCGACTCCGCCATCCCGGAGCCTGGCTACTTCTTTGGGGACCACGGCGGGTTCGGGCCTGATGGGTTGTCCGGGCTGGACCTGGGCGCCCTGCCGCCGTCGGGCCTCGCCTACCTGCACCTGAGCAGCCCCCTGCACCGCGTGCCACCGGCGGCCATGGCGCTGCGCAACGACCTGGGATCCAACATCAGCGTCCTTAAGACCCTGAACCTGCGCTTCCGCTGCTTTTTGGCCAAAGTGCACGAGCTGGAGCGCAGGAACAAGGTGTTGGAGAAGCAGCTACAGCAGGCTCTTGAGGAAAACTGCGGAGGGGATGGACACAAGAAGCCCCTGACCAAAGAGATGGGGGTCCAGACTGGATTTATTGGGCCTATCCCAGCCAGACCGGGCCTCATCCCTCTCCACAACGTCAACAACTCTGCCTACCTGCCCGGCGGCCTCCTCTCACCAACACTGAACCCTCCCCCACTTTTTGACAACAAATACCTGCTGGGGAACAACTTCAACCCGATTACGGATTCAAACTCCAACCTCACCACATCCGGGTTCTCCAGCCCGGCACTGAGTCCCACCGACCCGTCCAAACCCATCACAAACATCAACGAGAAATACGCCTCCAACGCCGGTACGAACACCAACAACACCCCCCCTCCTCCCCCGCGATTCCTCCCCGGGACGATCTGGTCCTTCAACCACACCCGTAGGTTTGGTACCGGGAGGGAGTCGTGCGTCACGGGCCCCGGGGTCTCCTGGACTCACCCGGACGGCGTCGGGGTCCAGATCGACACCATCACACCTGAGATCAGGGCCCTGTACAACGTGCTGGCCAAAGTGAAGCGAGAAAGAGACGAGTACAAGAGAAGGTGAGGGTTGTTTACCTCCACTTTCATCAGAGTTTCAAATGTTGTCATGGCTGGAAAGTTTGTGTCATCACAGATATTGTGGCGTTCAGGTGGCTGATCTCTGATACTTTGAGGTACTTGTATCGATTTGGGTGACCAAGCACAAATGTAAGACTGGGGCTTGTAAAGCATTATGAAGAATATGTTGAGGCCAACCCAGTTCCTCTTCTGGGAATGAATTATTATTATTATTATAATTATTATTATTATAATTATTGTTAGACTAAGAAGTACCAGTCTGCTAAACAAACAACATACAAGTGATGCTGAACTCTTTTTAATACAAGATAAATAATACATCATTCTTAATAGCAGTGCATTTGAAGAAAAAGTTAAGGGAGGTTTAACTTTATTGACTAAATGAATACTAACATGTTCATCTGTAAGGTAAGATGTTGATCCCACAGTGTCGCACAAAAACACACACAAGATGGATACGTAGCCTAAAAAACTATTTAACAGACTCAGTTGCCAGTTTAGTAGGCAGTGCTTGGTAGTAGTGGGATTTGCCACTTTGCCAGGGAAAGTGAATTGTTAAGAGCTCAAGGCACTACCAGGCTTTGGGTTTGGTTCTGCATCTGTTATTTTGGCACTGAAGGTTTTACTCATTGATCTCTCTGAAAAGCTGAAACATTATATTCAGTAGGGCTGAGCTATTTGAATTTGTCACCCCACAAGGATTTTGCCCAGCACTTAATGCCGAGGTAGCGATCGCTTTAATGCCTCTGGTTGTATCGGGTCATTGAGGACAAGCGTTGTAGATCATTGAGCAGGATTGCTTTTACATGATGTTCATTTGGTAGATGATTTTGTCCAAAGCGACTTAGAAAGTACATTCAAACTCTAGAAACAAGAGCTTAATGTCATAAAGAACTGGAAGTGCATTCCTTTTTGCATCTATGTTGTTTGTGAGAACTACCTGGATTTTATTTGGTATTTAATTCACTAAATCAACCTGAAGATTTATTGTAGTCTGTCTTCAGAGCATATGTTGAAATGCATTTAAAATGTTAAGGAATTAGTGGAGGACATCTGTTTTGTCTGTCAAGAATTTTGCTCAACATGCAGCTTCTGTTTCACACTGACACACATTAAAACATACTCTCGCCCTGCTGTTTTTTTATGCTAAGTAATACTGACCTCACTACTTTCTGCTTGAGCCTGCTGAGGCAGGATGCCACTGCAGGATAAACCTTTCAGTCACATCGATTTCAGAACCAGTATGAATGACAGCAACTCACACTTTGACCTGTGTGTTCAATTTAAGTGCTGCAGTTTTACATGTTTTGAAAGCAATTGCAAGTGAGCTTGAGATGGAAAAGGTTTAGATATTTCCTACAATTTCATTGAGGAACAATTATTCATAAATGCAAAACAAAGGTACCTCAGTTAAGTAGAGACGAGCAGTTTCATGTGATGGGAAGTTAGGAGGGATGAGACATCAATAGCATTTTTAATGATTTTAATGCTTGTAGGTCTTATTTCACTGACTTGCAACACTGTAGAGAGTTCCTTTCTGTTTCTTATACCTCTGCGCCTGATAATGAGCCAGTCTGGGCTTGAAACATACTTTTTCTAGATGTAATGTAGTTAAGCTTTTTCAAAGTTAGCATTTTTTCTTTAGTCTTTAGGAAGCTGAAATCACTGTACAATTGTTGGACTCATCACCTCGACAAGAGCGATGTGCTTGTGTTTTGCACTCCGTTGTAGTTTTTCTTTCACACCATGAGGTCACCAAAGGGCCTAAATTTGGAGGTTGATTTGGGGTGTCCAGGTTTCCATAAGTAAATATCAAAGACAACTCTCCTGATTGACTAATCGGTAAATAGATTAAACAACAAGTTTCTGAAGATTTCAAAGGTACAAGTTGTGGAAAAAATCAGCAACAACTCCTTTGGTGCATTTCAGTAAGAAACATCCAATCAGAGAGCTTTATTCTGTGCCGTGCTGTGCTATGGTGAGCTGAAGTTAAAGATTACATTTCATACAAACCTAATCAAAAACATTGAGCAGTTTAAATGAAATGCTGAGGACACCCATCACCGCCTTCAGACAATTTTGACCAGAAACCTAATATGCTCTAGGTTTTATTTACCCAGTTAACTGATCAGATATACTGAGGACATGACCCCAATTTCCTTGCTTATAGGTAGGGCCGTGTTTCTATGTTGAGGAATAATAAAGATCATTAAAAGAAAACTTTAAAATGGAAATTTGCAATGGAGGAAACCAGCGGCTGCTTCCACGTCAGAACTCTGAAAGACTGTCCTCCAGTAAGGTTAAAGGAGTAGTGCTTTAATTTGTCCCTGTCTGAAGGGAGCATGTGTCTGGAGAAAAGATCCTGGGGAACATGTGTGAACATGATGTTTTTCTCTTTCATGATCTGCCTCACACAGCTGTCTCCCATCTTTCCCCTCTTTAATTCTTGGTCTCCCTCCTCCTCCTCTCCCAGCTGGGTTTTGTCCTGGTACCTGCAATGCAGCACTGGCCTGTGACCGCCAACAGTGATGTCACCCAGTCTGCCATCTCTCCTCGCTGTCTCCCCTCTCCATTTTATCTTGATTTTACCCTCTGCCTCCCTCTCAGTGTCTCTCTTTTTATCTCTCTCTCTCTCTGCGAATGTACATATCTCTCCTCACATTTCTCCCTCTCCAGCTATAAGTTTTATCCTCTCTCCCTCCTTCCCCTTTCTTGTCTACTTCTGTCTCTCTGTTTTCTGTTAAACGTTCAGCTGCTGTCCCTGTTGACTCCTCATCCATCTCTGCCCCCCCCCCTTCTGTCCCATGTGAACCTCTGCAGCGTCAGGCAGGCGCTGACATCACCATTAACGTCTTCATCCCCAAACCGCACAGCTCCAGCAAACCCTCTTTGGATTTCTTTCTCTCTTGCTCTCTTTAATTCTATTGAGCTCCATGAAGCGTTATTGTCATGTTGTTTTAACCAGCAAAGATGTTGCCAAAGCATATGCACTACATGGACAAACATTACATTGAGATTGTTGAACATGCACAGGGATTTGCTCCCATTCAGACACCAGAGCATCAGATGTTTTCGGGTAATTGTCCTTTTTAACATGAAAGGGACAAACCAAAAATGTTTGAAAATGTCTAAAATATCATAGTATGCTATTGCATGAAGATTTCCTTCACTGGAACTAAAGTGTAGCCCAAACTAGACCCAATGTGTGTCCAAATACTTTTGGCCCTTTAGTGTTTATACACAAACTAGCATTGCCTCTAGAGGCTTAAATGCTCACTCACAAATGTCAACCGTCTCACCTTACCAATATCACCTCATAACAGATGCACTGTGAGGTTGCAGTGAGTCATATTGTTTGTGTGTGTGTTTGTGTGTGTGTGTGTTTGTGTGTGTGTGTTGGAGGGGAATAGAGTGAGAGAGATGAAAGTAGAAAGGAACTTTTTACATCAGGAACTTTTTACATCACCTTGTATGTAGATACAAAGAGGCCACCCAGGGGCCTGTACCACAAAGCGAGTTCAACATATCCAGGATCTCTTTTCGTTATCTAGCTTCACTAACCCTAACAATTGTGATCAGGATAAGCGGTACCACAAAGCTGGTTATCAACTCGGTAACAACTTTCCCAATCCAGCCGTGAGCGTGTTCACATAAAAGAGGCTGTATTAGCAGCACATGGCCTATCGCAAGTCCACTGGCATCAGAGCGTCATTTTCCAAATGAAGAGCAAACTGTAACACTACAGAAATATGACATGGTCTCAGTAGCACGGCTGACGGTGTGAATGCCTAAATGAACAGGCGTAGCCTATAATAATGTGTGGATTTGATGTGTTCTTATGAGCTGTATGAAAATATCAGCCTTATTCTTTCAGCTCGGCCTGTGTGTTACACATTAAAAGACTCGGGGCACTGAATAAGTGGTTGTTCTCTTCAAAGAACTTCTCGTCACTTTAAAAATTAGATTAATTTAACACACTCAAAAGTGTTCCAAACATTGTTCTAAATTAACTTTATAAAGCAATGAAACAAATCAATTCATGCCATAAAATGTGCTTAAATAGTGGTTGAAAGACTGAATCTCAACATTTTGGCTGCTGAAAACTCTCACCTCATTACCTGCGCCCACATCACAAAAGGTGGGGCTGAACATGACCAGGCTCTGTGACAGCCTATAAGATAGCTACTAACCTAAAATAAATAGCATACGTTCATATTAAAATGTATTTCAATATCCCTACCAAACTTCTCATAATATTCAGCCTCACATAAGAAAAATGAAACCCATTTATTTTAACGGCTGTGAAAATAAAAATAAAATAAATAATAGTAAAAAAAATAATAATAATAATGAAACGCATTTCAAAGCAGTTAGTAGGTCTGCTGTAAAAACCTGTACAATAGGCTTTTCAAAAGATATCGCTATAGCCTACAAAAGTTTCTCCACATCACTGCAGCAAACATAAAAGCAGCCTGTATAAATCAGTCTGTGGGATTTCCTTCAGATGGCGATGTCATTTTCCAAGAGAGGTGAGAGGTTTTTATAGAGTTGATCTCTTATCTGGAACATAACCTGCTTCGGAGCAGATTAGCCGTTCAGCATAAGTTACCATGGCGATCTACCCCGGTATAAGAAGTGAACCACCGTCTCGTGGTACTGAAAACCCAGGGTTAACCCCAAAGTCACCTTGATAAGCTCAAATCTACAAAGCTAGAGCCAGGAGGCGCTTATCCCATCTTAGCATAAAGAGTGGCAACTAGGGTCGGGTCATTTCAGTTATATCGATTCTGATTCTAGTAATCGAATTTTGTTCTTATGGAATTTCTGTTCTGGTCGCCACTCAGTGACCTTCATCCACTTCCTCCTCGCTCATCTTCCCCTTCGTGGCTAAAGTGAAAGGCGTCTCTGTACTAGAGGGACGTCTTTGGGGACTCATCTCTAAGTAAAAAATATATTAGAATCATTTGGAGACATCATTCGTTTCCCTTCAGTATAAAGGCTGAATGTGAGCTCACCTGTGTTTTGTATCTGAGCATGAGACATTGCTACTGTTAGCGTTAGCTGTATCAGGGGCGTCATTGTAGCTGGGAGAGCGCCACACATTGAACACTGTGCGATCCTTCAGATTCACGCTGTGTTGAGGTAAATGCTTCGTCATGTTGGGGCTGCTTCCTCCCTTGCACAGATTATCCTTACTGCAGGTGCATTTTGCTGTGTTATTGTCTTTTTCTTTTTTTTTTTGTGAAGCTAAGCTATATGTTTGAGTGTTTGCTGCAGTCCACCATGGCCAAGGAAAGAAAACAGAACTACTTTCTTGTCCCTTGGTTGAATCTTTATTAATCCTAGTTAATACACGGAGCCCGATATCAGTTGAAATCAGTTCTTGATACCAAATCCTAGTGGCAACAGGGTGAAACGGCAAGCCTGGCCCTGTCCAAATTTCAATAAATACACCTATTATTTATCCAAACATAACAAGATTTAGTCTTAAAATTATTAGAGAGCAAAAGTCATAACTTCACCTAGCAGCTAGCCTCTGTCCCACTAGCCTCTGTAATTCAATGCAGTCTCTTATTCAGCATTTCGTTCATTGTCCTTTCTGAAGAAATAATCTAGTGTTCACTGTCCATATTCTAAGACGAACCCTCATCCATTACAGCACTTGTTATTAGAAATGGAAACCTTTTTGTGATTCAAGTAAAACGATCACTTTGTGAGCAGAGAAGAAAACTGCAGCAGTTTTTTCTAAAGAGGGCAGTTTTAATTTACGTCATCCCCTCCATGACGTCCTAATTTGTTGATGTCACACCTCAGGAGTGCAGTGCTACAGCTTGGTCTCCTTCTAGTGATGATAAAAATCTCACATAAAACACAATGGCTTTGAGAATTTACTTTTATTACTGGCACCATCCAGTAATTTTGCCATCATCAGTTATACAGATTAAGCAGCTTCTGTTTATTCAGACATAATGACACCCAGCAGTCTCACTGCAGAGCCACGTGTTGAGACTGACAAACAGATCAGAGCATCAAGGACATCAGCTCCGTCACTGCCAGCCTCTTCTCTGCTGTCTCTGTTTAGGTATCTTCATGTCTGCGTTTCTTTGTCTCCAGTTTATGATTTTTATCCCCCTTAAATGGGACACACATTGGATGTTTATCAGTATAAACAGCAAAAATGTGACTTGTACATACAACACTCAAATTGGAAATTATCCCTGTTGACAAGGAGGTAATTTGATCTGAGGTCATCCACCAGAGACATGTCGTCGTCGTCATCATTTTGGTGCTACAGCAGCTCAGCTGAGCAGCGTGTGAAGGACAAAAAAGGCTACAAACCCGGAAAGAAGCCAGATCAGCTGAGATCATTTGGTGATTGTTTTTAAGAGAGTGCATTCATTGATTTTGAACAAGTAGAAGAAGCAGCAGAAAACAATTAGATCAAATATAGTGTCAACTTTGCTATTCTTAGATCCTCTGCACTAGTGCAGCATAAGATGAAACAGTTTAGTGGCATTTCATATGTAAACTATATGGACAGAAGTACTGGGACATCCCTGTCAACATACTTTTGGCAGTCTGGTCTTTGTTAAGGAAAATCTTAATGCTACAGCATATAATTTTAGACAATAGTTTGGCCTTTTCATGTTTCAATATGACGATGTTTCAATAAGAAATGTTTTTTCCCAGTTTGGTGTTGAAGAACTTGACTGTCCCGCACAGAGCCCTGACCCTATCGAACACCTTTGGGATAAACTATGATGCGAGCTATGCCCTCTTGTCTTAACAGCAGTTTCTGACCTCACAAATGCTCCTCTGGGTGAACGGGCAAATATTCCCACAGACAGACTCTTGTAACAGGCCTTCCCAGAAGAGCTGAAGCTGTTGTAGCTGCAAAGGGGGCGACCAACTCCATATTAATGGCTCTGGATTTAGAATTAGATGTACTTTTGAATTGTAAAGTTGGCATACTACCATGCTTTGTAAGTGTAGCATGCTAATGCATCAATGTTTTTTTATTGCAGAGACTGACAGAAATGAGGTGATTAGCAGTGAAGTTTTAAAGAGGGATCAGGAGATCACTGGTATTGAATAGGTATAATCAGATACCCAGGGAAAAGTTCATCTTTACACCAAATTTATAGGGATTCAGTCTCCCTAGATCTGAAATATATGAACCAAATGTCACTGCAGTCCCTTAAGCTGTTGTCAAGATACTTTACTCTGGACATAAATGGTGGAGTTACCGATCAAATGACCTATTGCCAGCCCTCGTGCCACACTGCTTATGTGGCTTAAAGATGAAAGTGGAATCTTTTGTCTCTGTCATTGTGCATGTGTTTCTTTTTAATATTGCTATCAGGCCGGGGATGTATCGCATTACAATAGACGCATCACTTCAGAACACTCGCAGAACCGCATTGCATCTCAGCCTCTGTCTCTTCATGCTTTCTGTTATTTCTGTCTTCTCTCCATAGTGACTGATTGTTGCAGCGTGCTCTTCATGCTTTACATGCACACTGGATGGTGTCTCTTTATGTAACACTTGCTGAGTAATGCTAGTGATTGCAGGAGGAACCCTGATGCTGCACAGTGTAGGTCAGTCAGGTGAACACGGTGGGTTTGCCTTAAAGCTGCAGAGAGGAGGATCAGGAAGCTGGAATTATCACAGGCTGAAGCTCTTCTCGTCTGACAAGAAAATTAGGCCACGTTCAATTCCTATGAGGCCAGACTTTCACATGTCTTTGTCTGCTTAGATTGTAACAACCAAATTATTGTATGTAATTTTCTACAAGCCTCATATTCACTGACACGTGTGTTAAAACCACCAGTGTTACGGTGGGCAGGTTGTTAAAGCTTTTGAAGCAGGCTGTATGATAAAAGTCTATTGTCATGCTGCAGAATGATTATTTATCTGAAGAATGTTCTACTTACTACTACTTGTGTGATTTGTAGATGGGAGGAAGAGTACACAGCCAGGATGGACCTGCAGGAAAAGATGGCTGAACTGGAGGACGTAAAGTGACATTTAAAATGCTTCATTACAAATCAGATATTGTGTTCCTTAAGATGCAATCAGCTTTTTACATTTACTCATTTGGCAGCTTTTAATTGTAGCCACATTTTTCCCAACTACAGAAGTTAACTCTTCTTCTCTAGTTCTTCTGAATGCATCTCAGTTCTTGTATTTTTATTTATTTTTTTAACATAAATGATCCACTGGATGGAAAACTCTGTTCTGTTTGTGACAGGAAGCAACAAGCTTTATGGAAAAAGTCTGCTTTATTTTGAAATGCATCAAATTCTATGTAAAGAAAGTTGTGTTTTTAAGAAGTCCTTTACATCTTACTAAATATTACTTGATTTAATCAAATATAAAAAGTATCTGATTTATAGCTGCACCTTCAGTGTTCTTTCAGTTTAGACAGAAAAGTACGTTATCTTGAGGTTTAAATTTATGAACCCCCTGATGGTAAAACCAACTGCACATTTACAGGAACCACAGTCTTATTTATAATTAGTTCTTTTTTAATCTTTACATTAGGTCATAACTTCTGTGTGTGTGTGTGTGTGTGTGTGTTTTCAGGACCTGCAGGAGAGCGAGGTGTGTCAGGATGAGCTGGCTCTGAGGGTGAAGCAGCTGAAGGCTGAACTTGTTCTCTTTAAAGGACTTGTCAGTAACGTAAGTCTGCTCTGAGCTGTTTAGTTTCTTCCTGACCATCTGAAAGCATCTCAACCCTACTGAGAGTTTTGTTTTGTTTTTTATTAGCAGAACCTGTAACTTTTAATTAACCTTGCAGGTTGTTGCTTTATGACCAACTTTGTTTTTATGCTTTTTATCTGTTTTTTTTTATTGATGCTTTTTTTCGTGTAGCACTTTGAGATTTGCTTCAAACGTATGGGTTATTAATAAGAAAAATTTAAGTTGGGAAAATGTCAAGCTGACTGAAAGATTCAGAAATTTTGAAGAATTTGGATTCCACAGAATCAAATCTTATTTTACAAGCTCTCATTAGAGATAATTCAGGGTGTGCTGGCAGACTGCTTGCTGTGTCTTTGGGATGTAGAAGAAAGGTGTGTGTGACCAGGTTCACCGCTGTTCTCCATGGTTAGAAATTGCTTGACATCTTGCTTATGAGTCATGGTGGTAAACATAACTAATCCTTCCAGTCTCCCTATCAGAACTTGTCAGATCTGGACAGTAAGATCCAGGAGAAAGCCATGAAGGTGGACATGGATATCTGCCGCCGTATCGACATCACCGCCCGCCTCTGTGACGTCGCCCAGCAGAGGAACTGTGAGGACATGATTCAGATGTTCCAGGTATGTTTGTGGTGATGAATGTCCACAACAGAGCATGCTCCTTCACTTTAAATAAACTTGCCTCCCTCCAGCAGGTGGCCACGCCCCCCTCCACTCTGAGTGGCCGGGCTAGAAAACAGAGCGGACAATCAGCGAAGGGTGGGGACGGAGAAGAACTGAGCATGTCTGAGAGCGAGGGAGGCGGGGCTAAAGACGAGGAGTCGTGCAGCACGTCGGCCAATCAGATCAACGAGCAGATGCAGAGGATGCTGAATCAACTGTAGGTGTTTTGGCCAGTAGTGTTAAAACACTGATGTTAAACCATGTAGTTGGCGTGTCTAAAGTGTGAGTGTTGGTGTGTTTTGCAGGAGGGAGTGTGAGTTTGAGGATGACTGTGACAGTCTGGCCTGGGAGGAAACCGAGGAGACTCTTCTCCTCTGGGAGGATTTTCCTGGATACCCACTGGGAGTGGAAACGCAGGGAGAGGTGTGCACACACACACATGAGCTTTTGACAGTTTTCAGACCCTTTCACAGACAGTGTTACAGATTTCAATTCAAATGGAATAAATAGACATTTTTTGGCAATTACTTCTACTCAAAGCTAGATAATTGTTTTCAAAGTTATTAAAAATCAAGAAAATAAAACCCCTAACAACTCATTGTTATTGGCCTAAATTGAGCTTAGGTGAATCCTGTATGCATTGATTATCCTTAAAATATCTTTAGGAATTGACTGGAGAATGACAGACTAATACACTTACATTAAGTAATTTTCAGTTACAAATAGGGCAGCCAGCTACCGAAGCGTTTTTCATTATCAGTACATAAAAAGATGAACAAACGTCTTTTATATCCGATCAAAAGTCCTCTGGGTTTGTTCTGGGCGTGTGCCTGGTGTTCTCAGCCCTTGACGGGTGGGTGGGTTGACATGCAGCTGGGCTACTTGATTTTGCCTCGTTGCCGGTTTGGCTGGCGTTGCATGGCGGGGGTGGCGGACTTTTATCGGCCTCTGTTGTGTGCGCGCCGCGTTCGGTCCGGGTGCCGCTCTTCTACGTGTTCCGCCTTTTGCCAAGTCCAAAATCCATAGATTAAATAAAAGTAAATATATTTCAAAGTAAATGATGTTGATTACCTTATTGTTGAGTCATAAATCAGTTGCTCAATTTTTTCAGCACTAGATGCTGCTAGTCTTTTCATTTTTTTGCTTAGCGTTGCATTCTGTAGCTGACTTTTATAACGTAATCTGATTTAACAAACCAGACAGACTGCTGTGTATCTACTTCATGACTTTTAGAACAAAAAAAACCATCAAATTTTGAGTTAATGTTCAGAAATAACAGCCTGTAGTTTTATGTTACCCTTCCTGAACTTCTGCAAAATGAGTGTTCAAAATAAAACTATTCAATTCAATTTTATTTATATAGCGCCAAATCACAACAAGAGTTATCTCACAGCGCTTTTCATAAAAGAGCAGGTCTAGACCGTACTGTGATGTTATTTACAGAAGCCCAACAAAACTAGTGCACAAAGATACTTTTAATTTACATTTTACAACTACAAATCATTTCTACACATTCACAAACCAGTTTTTTCAGGTTTACAAAGGGTGATTTCCAGGCTTTGAAGCCCGAAATATTATTGACCCTCATTGTAGCCCATACAGTTTAAGACTTTTTGATTCATGTGCCCCCTTGTCAGCCACATATAGTAGCTTTTGGCTGCCTTCGGTGCCGTAACCCTGTGGGATCTACTAACTAGTGTTATTCTTCAGAGAAGGTAAAAGCTTTAAAAATTGCATATATATATATTCTGTCGTGTTCGTTAAAAACTGCAATATAAAATAGTAGAAGGGACAATATACATTTTTTTTAAAACAAATAGTGAGACGTCTAAGCCTTTAAAATGTGTGCTCTGTATAATAAAGAGGCACTGACTGAATAAACTCACCCAGACTGCAGCAGTCATCAGTAGCACCTAATGCAGCTTACAGTGTCCCCCATCCAGCTGCGTACAGATCTATTCTCCCACCGTCGGGGAAGCCACCGGTGTTTCCTGTCGGGGACGGTTTTACTTTGTCCCACTTACTTGACCAGGTGGATGAGCTGTTTTTAGGCTGTTTAACTGCAGCAGCTTGATGTGTTTGTTTTTGAGTTCAGTGTGATGACGCGGACCGCTCGAGTCTATCCTGGTGACCTGTAATCTGTTTTTAACTAAATAAGCCAGAGAGGCTCACAACATGCTTAGTAAAGAGCTGGAACCAAAACAGGTTAAATGACCTTTACACACCCAGGGTGAACTCAGTTTAAACTTTATTTTGTCTTCTCTTGTGGACAAACTGTGCTTTCTTTATTTTTAAGTGTACTGCAAGCTTCTATCCAGTTTTAGTAAATGATAAATGTCAGAAAGTCAGCAATTTATTGTCATTTATGAAGGGGGGGAAAAAAGCCTCTAGTTCCAGCTGTGACAAGAATTCAGCTGCTTTATTGGCGACGGCCATGTTCACAATAAGCTTCACGCCACATTTTTACCCTCACAGCAGCCCCCTCCCTGAATAGATATTGATGACTGAAGATAGCTACAACTGAAATCAGCTATATAGGCGTTTTATTCTTCTTCTGTCTCTTTGTTTCCCCCCCACATACACTCCCTGTATCCAGCTGCTGCAGCAGGAGGAGTCCATCGAGGAGGTGATTAAAGACACGGAGTCTCTGTTCAAAACCAGAGAGAAGGAATACCAGGAAACAATCGACCAGATAGAGGCGAGTCTGTTTTTCTGTATGGTATTTATTAAGTTATGTGGACAAACATGTTCGTAGACTCCCGACCCATGAATTTACATTTAGCGGACGCTTTTATCCAAAGCGACTTAAAATTGCTATATATGCTATATATGTCAGTGGCACGCCTCTGGAGCAACAAGGGGTTAAGTGTCTTGCTCAGAGGCTCAGAGACACATTGATGTCATGGTGGGGACTTGAACCCGGGTCTCTCACACCAAAGGCAACCCCATAAAGGGTCAAAAAACTGGTTCTCATGAGGAATTTATTATAATAATAGCTTTATTTGAATAGCTCTTTTCAACACAGGTAACAAAACTCTTTACAATCAGTGTAAAATATAAACAAGTAAAGAAAAGAGCCCTCACACAGTGGTTCACGATCAAATATAAAAACATACAAGTCTTGAGAAAATCTAAAGAAAAATTGGCATCACACAGTGGTTTTACAACAATCTATATGCAAATAAGCACAAAGTATGTGTTGTAGCTATAGTTGGTCGTTACTGGAACAGTGTCAAAACTTTTGTTGCTACAATATGGAGAAAGTAGAAACCAGGGATGCCAAAATAACTTCTCACACTTCACTCTATAGCAGCATTAGAGATTTTAGTGTTAATGGATTTGTGAGTGGGTTTTATATATATTTTATTTATTTTTTTGTGCTTGTCAGTTGGAACTGGCTACAGCTAAGAGTGACATGAACCGTCACCTGCACGAATATATGGAGATGTGTTCGATGAAAAGAGGGCTGGACGTCCAGATGGAGACCTGCAGGAGACTTATTACACAGAGTGGAGATCGGTAAGACACACGTCAATGCAAATAAACTGAAGTCAGCCACCAGAAATTACCCCTAGTTGGAGGGTTGAGCCAATACTGAAGCAATATAATCCATCAGCCCTGCAATAAATTCTACATTCATGAAGGATTTAATGTTTTAGAGGTGTTGCTTCAACTGTGTGGTCATTTTGGAGGCTGCTGTTTGTGCTGCTGTTGAACTATATTTCATTGTATAGACAAGTGTCTTTAATATTTTCTCCACCTTCTGCCTTTAACATCAATGAGCTGGACTAAATAGACATTTCAACAGCACCACAAACTACAGCCATCAAAATAACTTTAAAGTTGAAATAACCAGTAAATAAATTAAATAATCAGTTTGGATTTATTGCAGGATCTGTGTATTAGACTGCAGTAGTTTTCAGCCAGGTGTACCTAATAATAAACTAGTCTGCAAGTGTATATATTGCACTTTTCAAAAGCAGTTTGTTGTACAGGTCCAAAACAAAGAGGTAAGTACAATACATGGAAAACACAGTACCAGGAGACACGCCACTCAATCACATCCTCAATGTAATAATACATATGTTGTGTTATCATTACGTTTGGGTCAGAGCTAAGAATCTGTTTTTCTGAAAAGTAAGTCTCCAAAAAAGTGTTTAACACTTATTTCCAAAATGTTCTGTCCCCTACATGATTTAAATATATATAAATAAATCTGAAACCGCTGGATCTCCCTGCTCATTTTGCAGAGCAAAAGCAAAATATAAAAGTAACACCACATACAGACAAATAACTTTTAGTCTGGTGATCATGTTTTTTTGGATTAGGAAACAGTGAACAGGTTAAAAGTATTTTATCATGCAGTATGCTTTTTTTATCCAGATGGTTAGAAGATTTATGGGAGTCTTCCTCAGCAGAAGGATTTAGCTTTTTGATAATTTTTATAATTCATATGTGTAAAAGTTAATATTTAATTGTTGACCTTTGAGACGGAGCGACACCCACAAATCTGAATTGAAACCTCCAGAAAAGCTACTGAACAAACCATACAGTGAGAATGTTTTAAAAAATAGATCTTAGACACTAATGTGTAATGAGAGTACATAAGAGGCACAAAGTGTCTGCTTTTTAAAATAAAACGTCAAGCCCACAAAATCACTGCAAGGAGGCCAAAATAGAGAGAGTGCAAAATGTCTGAATCGATAGAGTTTGAGCAGAAGACGGAATGGCAACATTAATCTTTTTCCTCCCTCTACAGGAAGTCCACCTCCCTCATCACACCGACTGTGGACGACTCTGACAGCGAGGAGAAGGAGAGGAAAAAGCCCGCTCTCCCTGCCGACTCTGAGATCAGCGATTCTTACTGCGACGCCAACGCCGCCATCCCTCCTCTGACCTGGAGGAAACCCTAACACACGCTGCTGGTACTCGTATCTAAAGTCGTGTCTGTGGTTTTTGTTGACCTATGGTAGAAATTACTTTAAAACCAGCAGATGTAAAATGTCTATTCTTTTACATCTGCTTTTTTACTGGTCACAAACTCAGCCAACATGTCAGCAGGTGAATTAGAGCAAAAGGTTGACTTAAATCTGGTGACAGAAAAGTTACACCAACGACATTATGAAACCATCATTTGCTTGCAAGGCTTATATAGAAAATTATACATTTTCAAAGCTGTTTGTGAAAGATTTAAGATTCATGAAAAAAAGCAATAATTCTTCTTGATGTGTCACTGCTGCCCTCCTGTGGTAATCTGCTGTAACTGCGGCGCAGTGAAGGTCAAACAGAACAAAATGGCACTTTTTAAAAGGCATTCACTGGTTCTGTTTTCCTGTGAGATGAAAAGGACACATTTTGTTTTGCACACTGACCTGTTTAGTGCAGGAGCCAATTATTTGCACAATTTCAGTAACAATGCCTTCAGCTGCAGGTTCAGATCTGTGAACAGAGAGGCAGTAATGCACAAAGAAATTATTTGCACATAACTGTTAAATGAAGTGGTTAACAGTGATCAAATGTAGGAACAGTTTAATTTACTGCACTTATATTTATAATGAAATTCTTGTTTTTATGTCATTATTTGTAAAATATGAATTACACAAATTTTCTGAGGTTATACTGTAGATACAGTAACTATTGGATAAAATATCTATTAAAGCCCAACTTGCCTTAAACTGGTGTCCAACACTCGAGAAATACGAAACCTTCTGTGATTTTAAAACACTGAATTGGCACAAGAGTTACAAGTTAGTCAAGAGGGCTGACTTGAAAATCCATCTTTAAAAAAGGGTTTAATTTTTTTTTTTTTCTTGCCACAGTACTAAAAAAGGAAATGCATAATTAATAGGGCTGCAACTAATGATTATTTTAATTGATTATTTTTGATTAATTGATTAGTTGTTTAGTCTATAAAATGTTAAATAGTGAAATGTCCATCGATGTTTCCCAAAGCCCAAGAAGACATCCTAGAATGTATTGTTTGTCCACAAGATATTTACTTTACTGTTAAAATGAGTAAAGAAACCAGAACATATTTACACTTAAGCTCTAAAAAAAACCCTGACAGATGAATCTATTTGATTACCCATTGTAGCTCTAATTATTAATTAACCAAACTTGATAAAAATGAACTAAGAATATTTTAAACACAGGCTGTTTCCATCACATTCTCAATATGATCTCTGGAAATCTGTGATTTTAACAACTATGGAGCTGTTTGTTCTACAGTTACTACTTACACACTGGGTTTTTTTTAAAAGGTGATTATGATGAATCTATAGAGGTAAAATCCTTAAACTAAATTCTCCGAATTCTCAATTTGGAGCTTTGGAAAACTCTACAAAATGACTGACTAGATAAGAAAGAAGTTTCTCGACCAGGAAATAGTTTTTGTTTAATTTATTGTTGCTTAGCTCTCGAGTTATTCCTCGTCAGGTCTCTACAGCTTAATCAAACTAAATATCCTGAGGCTTAAATCACTCACTGCTGACAGCTCAGACGCCTGCAGCCTGTGATGAGCGGTCACTCATATATATATGGCTTCATTTTAAGGAGTAACGAGACAAACACACGTAAAACTGGGAGAAATAACTGAATAAATAAACTATGAGAATGTAGGGGTGGTTTTATTTTGGTGTCTTGGGGTTGCACTGGGGTTGCACTGGGGTTGCAGGTATTAGTGTTGTGGATTTTTAAAATCCTACAGCCTGACCTGACCACACTGTCCGTGTTAATGTCATATTGGATACATCTACAGTAACTAGCTTGTGTGATAGGAAGAAAAGTTAGCAAAAGTGGGATTGTCATTTTCTTTAAGTAAATGCAAAGCCTGAGATGTGAGACAACGAGAGCTTGTAAAAATTAGACCTGTACGAAAGGAAGGATACAGGGCTGTAATTAAGGATTATTTTCTATACAATGTCAAGTAAAATAATTACTAATATTTTTCTAGCTCCAAGTTAAAAATTGCCAGAGATCCTCAGTTTACTTCCACAAAAGATCAACTTATGATTTAAGTCTTTGTTTGCTAAAATGAGCGGGAGAAAATCTGAGTTTAGTTTAGAAAATTTGAAGAATCTCGCAGCTGAAGTAGATTTTTATTTATATATATTTTTTTCCCCTTTAGGGAAAGAAAGGGAAGGTTTCATATTTTAATGCCAACAATCACAAGCCAACATCCTTGTTAATCACTGCTAATGGAAATTGATGGATTATGAAATCATTACTCTTGACACATTTCTCCTGTAGAAACAACAGATTTGTTTGTCTGATTTTGAGAAACAGGTGGCAAAAACAGACAGTTATGGGCATTTTGCTTTTTTCCTTTTACAAAAGTGAAAACCTATTTTAAGAAATATTTGTCCTTAAAAATGTACAGTTTGTAAAGGCTAAATATTGTATCTAATGTACATAACAAGGCTGTATATAATGCTTTAATGCTGAGGTTTGTGTTCTTACGATGTAAATTTAGCTGAGATCAAAGCAATTTAACATTTTAATTACATCATTCTTTTAGTTTTAGCATTGCTATCAGTGGAGTTGAACATCTTCGTAGTATTATAGCAGTTAAAGGTTGTTTTTCTGTTGCTGTGTCAGAGCAAATACAACTGCAGCAATGATAAGAAGTTGTTAAAGTGAATTTACCTTTTTTTAGTTTCCTGTTTCATGTGGATGTACATATTTGGGGAAAGAAGCCATTTTGCAAGAGATGTGTTTAAGCAGAAAGATTTTTACTCTGTGGTAGAACACATCTTTAAATAAAATGAATGTCTGCTTAGTCAATAACCTGCCATGTTCATCACAGAAAACAGACTCATTAAAAGGAACCTTTTTAGTTTTAGTCCTGTAGTTGTCTTCTTCACTGAGCACTTTTCTACATGCATCAAAGCCTGACTGAAACACCTGAAAATGCTAAACTCTTATTTTACACTTTTTACAAATAGTCCGTAGTGCTCAGAGAAGAAACGGGCTAAAATTGAAAATAACCACATTGTTCCTTTTAATGTCAAGGAGAAACAAAACAAAGCTACTGCAAGTGTACAAAAAGCAAAATACACACACATCACTCACCTCATCGAACTGTGTGAAGAAGCCGCTTTAACGGAACTGTTGAGATCTATATTATCAGAATGTAAATAGTGTCTGTGGAGAGAAAACAGAAATATATATGAAGTGTGAGAGGGTAAAAAAAATAGTTAAAGACCTCATGAAATAGAAACTGTGGCTGAGATGGAAGCTGATTAAACAGGAAATAAGGACGGAAAACAGACAGCAGGAGCCAAATAAGTCAGCTGGAGGCTCAGTCACCAGGAGAGTGTCGTGCCAACATGGACCCTGAGGAAGGCCGTTCTCCTTGTAACAACCAGATTGTAGTCACCGTTTCTGAGCTCTCTGTGGCTGTGTAGGTGCAGATGTTCGGGCTGATTTTATGAGCCTGGATTGAATTCTCCATCACTTCACGTGTATAAAACAAGTCATTTGTTTTCATGAGGTCTTTAATGGGGTTTTTTCCCCCCCAGTCACTGTGTGCAGAGCTGTATGTTTGATCAATCTATGAAGCAAAATGAAAAGCTGCACAGAATAAAACACATTCAAAGAGTCTCTGTTGTGAGAGTTTGTTATTGACAGTGGCGTTAACATTTGTTCTTGCTATATTTCCACTGGATTGGTTGCTTTATATTTACACTTCCCTACATTTTGAAGTGGAATTTTGTACATTAACTGCACAATATTTGACAGTAACTTTGCAGATTAACATTTTACAGTGTATGAAAATCAGATATGCATATGGGGTGAAGTACTTAGATCCTTTAGTAGAAGCAGCAAACGTACACTGCTGAATCACCTGAGTCTGCATTAAAAATGTATATAAGTATCGAGGTAAATAAATTATAATCCAATTTTTGACATGCAGTACTTTAAGTATATTTTGTTGCTAATCCCTCTGTAGTTTTACTTAAGTAAATACTAGAATGCAGGACTTTTATGAGTCTTTCTACACAGTGGTATTGTTATTTTACTTATGTGACTTTTGAGTACTTCTTCCACCACTACTAGTTTAGTTATTTGTGTGATAATTGAATACAAACATTAAGATGTAGTAATTTATCAGTAGTAAATAACAGTCTGAAATGGGCCACTGGGCATTAAGAGTACATTACTTTTAAGTACATTTTAATGATAATACTTCAGTATTTCTACTTAAAGTTATCGAATACTAGTACTGCTACTAAAGAATAGAAATACTAATTACAGATTGAAATAGTAAGTTTAAAAGCAATACAGTTATTTATTGATCAGATTACTTTTACTAGGCTGTATTTCAGCAGCTTTGATCCGTCTCATTAGTTTCAGGTCAGTCATCTTGTTCCTTTAATGATTTAATATTAAGTGCCTCCTGTTCAGGCTGTTTTATTGGCTGAGCGGGAAAACAGATGTTCCAAAGCAGCCAAACAAACAACTTCACGGTAAATCAATGAAGAGGAACAAACACCGAAACAGCAGAAGAAATAAGAGCTGCTGAAGGGAAACAGCCGCGCTGCTTCAGCACATTAAACACTGAGCGCTCACAAAACCACAGCAGGCTGCGTTTGCACGGAGACCGACCAACAAATACTCTGCTGTGTGTTTAAGTGAACACCAACACCAGATACTCGTGAACCAACTAAGTACTTTAACTCAAGGGCTGTACTTTTACAATTTGCATATACATTATACTTCTATTCCAACACACATCAGAGGGAAATACTGTACTTTTAACTGTTACATTTATCGGATAGCTTAAGTTACTCATTGTCAGAATTTTTACACACAATATTTCATCAGTTTATAAATTAACATTGAAATCCTACTTACATGTTAATGCATTAATATTAATGACCAAATAACGACAGACGCCATTCTGCTCCAAAAGGAGTACTTTTACTCTTGATATTTTTAAAGTAGATTTTGTTGCTGATGATGTTTCTGTACTTTTACTTAAAGCCAAATTTAAGATCAGCACTTATTACTGATTATTTTTATAGTGTAGTATTGCTACTATTAGTAAATAATCTAAATACTAAGGTGGTGTACAAAAACACCTAGCAGAACACGAACAACCTGAAACGCAATGAATAAGTAAAGTAATTTTATTTGGGGATGGGCACCAATATTAAACGAGCCCCGGGGCGACAGACCATAGTATTTATTATCAGGGTGCAGCCTCTGCTCTACTGTAAGTACGTGCAATAAAACCTTTGTGAGTAAGAAGCTAGTACTTTATCAATACACCTGTTCAACAAGCATAAACATGGAAACAAAGTGATATTTTAATCTGCTGCTGTGTTTTACACAAGCACAGCACGCTAGCCCAGCTAACAGCAAATTGCTACAATGAAAGCTGCCTGTCTGTAAGTGTTTTAGTTTTCCACACACACCTTAAAATCTGGCACACTGTTGTAAAACTTAGCTGCTGACTGAGACAAACAGCTGCTACTCTGTGTACCAGGTAACTTTACCTGCCGACAGCAGCAGGAAGGAAGACAGAGGACAGGAGGAAGGACTGATACGGATTGATGTCCGAGTTTTTCCATCTTTCTAAACTTCACTCAGTATTCTGATGTCGGGAATATGATTTATTTAACTGGAATTTTAGATTTGTTTTCCAGTGAGATATTACTGAGTTTATATAGTGACTTTCAATTCAATTCTAATCCTGTTCTAAAGTTAAAGACAACCAGGCTGCTAATATGCACAATTCAATATCTGTTTATTTATCACAATACTACATTACATTTAGCTGACTCTTTTATCCAAAGCTTACAATTGCCATATATGTCAAAGGTCGCACGCCTCTGGAGCAACTAGGGGTTAAGTGTCTTGCTCAGGGACACATTGGTGGTAATGTCACGATGAGGAACTGAACCCGGGTCTCTCACACCAAAAGCATGTGTCTTATCCGCTGTGAACAATGTCGCACATCGCAGATTTTCCTCATTTCACGCAGGCCTATATGGTGCCTATAAAGCATGGTGGACAATTGTTATGGTGTGTGCGTGTGCATGTATGCATCTTTCATCATGTCACACACACCAAGTACTTCGTCCAATTTTGAGGTACCTGTATTTTGTTCCACTACATTTCACTGTATATAAAATAGCTAAACATTGTTCCACCTTCCCCAGATTCAGCACTTGAAAGAGCTTCAGACACTTTAATGCATCATTAATAATAATCCAATAATTTAACATTCTGAAAAGGAGCCTTTCTGCAGAATGACTACTTTTGATATTTTAAGAACATTTTGCTGCTAATACTTTGAACTTTTACCTACTTAGTAGTATTTTGATTCCAACTTGAAAAACTTAAAAAAAATAAAATAAATTACGATACGATTTGAGATTTTAATAATCTCACAAAGTAACAACTTGCATGTTACAGCAACACGGGAATCCGACTAAAGAGCTAGAAAACAAAGAACTACAATAAAATTCAGTAAATTGGAAGAAAAGTCAAAAACAATGTTGAGAAAAAGCGACTACAACAAGCTGTTTACATAAAATCTTCCACCACTTTCTAAATATAAATATTTAATTTCAATGCCACCATAAACTCAACCCAATTCTTTTATACAAATCTACTGAGTGTCCAAAAAACAACGTTTAAGGAAGGTTATGATATTTAGTTATTGTCGACCTTGTTTCAGAGATGTTGACTTTGCAGATTCTGATTATTTTAAACTAAATAAATAAGCAAATAAATTATGAGTATTATTACAGATTAAAATAAAACTTTATTGATCCCTGTAGGCAAATTCAAAAGCTACCCAGCCATATGTAAAATAATTTAAACTAGCTCCATATTTGCCAGCTGCAACATTACTGCATCCATTATTTGCAAAGTTATAACACAAAGATCCAAACCCTGCAGCCAATCAGCTGCTTTTAAGATCAACCATTTGATAGCGTTAGTACAGAAGTAAAGCTCAAAATAAAAGACAGAAAATAAATTAATAACTCACCTCCCATGAGGTCAAAACACACGACTCCACGTGTCAGGGTCAAACCGAGCACGAGGAGGAGAGCGATTAACACACCTGTGTCTGATTCACAGGGGGTGCGTTTGATTTATCTCCCTTTGGTCAACAGAGGTCAGATGACACGTCCTCGCAAGTTTACAACAAACCAAACTTTTCCTTTAACTAACCCCAACACACATCGAAACACAGGTCACATAACCTAAATATACTTTACACCTAAACTTATAAATGGGAACCATTAATTTCACACCCAGTCTTTAGATAATCAATAGTTAATCGGCCAAAGCGAAGGTTCACTCTTGACCTTACGTGACAAAACAATCATCAAGGCCAACACAAAACGTCACCGGCTGATGATGACCACGTGGTTTGAAAAAGTTGTTTTATCAAGCAGCTACTGTGGCCTCCTGAACTCCGTCCTGCACGGTGAGTCAGAGAGGTGCTGCTGTGTGGGCGGAGCTTACTGCTTACCTGGACAGGTGAACTTCACCGGAATACAGTGCACGTGGCAGCTCTCAGAGTTATTTAAAGGAACAGTAGCCTATAATTTAGAGACAAAATCATTGTTTCCGTTACCGGTTATTATTACAGTCACTGACCGGGACAGTGTGTGTGTGTGGTGTGTGTGTGTGTGTGTGTGTGGGCGGAGCTTACTGCTTACCTGGACAGGGGGGGGGGGGGGTGAGTGTGACGCGAGATTTGTTTAATCTGCGCAGCTGCTTCAGTTGTAGTTTTTTGGTTTCAAAGAAAAAGGGAATCAAGAGAAGAGAAGAGATAAAACAAGTCATCCTTCATTTATTCAACTGGGATCTCTCTCCCCTTTTGTCTCTCTCTCTCTCTCTTTATATCTCTCTCTCTCTCTCTCTCTCTCTCTATATCTCCCTCTCTCTCCTCTCTCTCTCTTTATATCTCCCTCTCTCTCCTCTCTCTCTCTCCTCTCTCTCTCTCTCCTCTCTCCCTCTCTCTCCTCTCTCTCTCTTT